CATCTGCTTGCCTAGCCACTTGTTCTTTCATTTTTTCTTGCTACATACTCGATAAGGGCACTCATTCAAAACTAAAAGCACAGCTACCCTAGAATATTCTCTGGGTAGAACAACAGGGTGAGAAGCTGGGGGTGGAGGGTGCCATCATTGGTAAGATGCCTGCTATATAGGCATGAGGATCTGAGTTTGGATCCCCAGGAGACATGTAAAAGCTGGGCTCAGTGGCATGTGTCTGTTAACTCTGGTGCTGGAGACAGGAGAGTGGAGACAGATGCACCACTGGAGTTCACTGGCCACCTAGTCTTGCCAAATTGGTGAGCTCCAGGTGCAGTGAGAGACCTTGTCTCAAAAAATAAGGACTAAAGAAGACACTGAACCTTGACATCTGGCCTCCACATGCACATGTGCACATACACAAACATGTACACTCACATATACACAGAGAGTAGATAGGGTCATCAGGGTGGGGTCTTCATGATTGAATATTGATGCCTTCATCAGAAGAGAGAGACTAGGACATGTAGTATATACACACTACACATGTTCCCTATCTCCTGTCCTGTGATATCGGGTTTTGGGTGGCTCTGCTGTCACTGGCTGTGATCCCCAAACATTAAACTAGCCCCACAAGCCTCTTTACTGTGTGGATGTACACTCTGTGGTAGTGTGTTGTCAGCATTAGAAAAATGAATTAGGACAGTAAGGAAAAATATCAGAGCTCCTCAGAGGTCAGTGACAGTGAGGCAGAAAATTAACGTGCACCTGACAGCACAGAGCTCATTGGTGGCTTTTCCAAGAACAGTTTTGTGGGCTTAGCCACATGGATGTGTGCAAAGAATGAACAGGGGCGAGGAAAGCTGGGCTTCACCCTGGAAGGCAAAGGTGAGACTGCTGAGGAATTTGAGTAAGTGTCTAATCTGCTCTGACTTGGCCATTCAGGTGGTTCAAGGACAACGGATCAGTGGCTGGTTGATAACAGGAGATCGTGGGGAGTCAGACAGCATTGCACCACAACTTGCAGGAAGACACAATGCAACACCGAATCCACACTCTATCCCCCAGAGATCGATGATTAGGATCAAGGTGGGATGACAGAAATAACACTGGTGTTAGGGAGCATCTGCTCAATGCCGGGCCCACACTTGGCGGCTCACTTCATGATGCCGTACTGCACCGCTTTCTACCAACAGCACCGCATTTCCCTGTTGAGACTTGGAAAGTGGAGAAAAAAACCCAAGAAATTCACCTAGGGCCACACAGGCAGATGATGTAAACTGGGCAACGGGCTGATGAGAAAGGGCTTTGAGACCGTTGTAGGGACTTTGGCTTTTGCTCTGAGTCAAATGGGGAGTCACCAAGACGTGATCAGAAGGGCAGGGGCAGATTTTAATGCCGCACCCCAGCCGGCAAGCTGAGAATGAGTGCCAGGGCAAGCTCAGAGGTAGAGAGATCGCCCGGGAAGCCAATGCTACCGTCTGGGGAAACAAATCCATGTGAACTTGGACCAGGTGGGCTGCACTGGCAAACTCAAAAAGTGCTCAAATCCTGGTGTATCTTGAAGTCGGAATGGAATTCTCCCCCTCCCCGCCCTGGTGTGTGTATACGTGTGTCTGTGTGCACTTTGTATGTGGGTGCACAGGCATGCAGGGGTCAGAGACTGACGTAGGGTGTCTTCCTCAATCACTCTCTAGCTTATTACTTAAGACTGGGTCTCATATGGGACCTGGGTCTCTGGCCAGTGAGCCCCAGAGATCTGCTGTCTCTGCCTCCCCAGTGCTGGAAACCACATGTGCTGGGACCTGCAAGCCACTTTTTAATGTGGGCTCTGGGGATCCGAACTCAGGTTCTCAAGCTTGTGCAGCAAGTACCTAATGGCCTGAGCCATCTCCTCAGCCCCTAGAGTGAGATTTTTCTCATGCACCAGACAGAGGTTGCATAAGAAAAAGAAGAGTTGAAACAGGCTCCTTGCCTTGTGGTCCACACAGGAGCATGATCTCTGAAGCCACAGGACTGGTGGGGTCATTCATTGGAGGAACTGAGTTCAGGCAGAGCAGAGGAACGGACTGGGACTGAGGAGCCAGGAAGAGGAACCAACAAGTTCTTGGACGGGAAATAGAGGAAGTGTGCATCAGGGGATCAGGAAATGGTCACCTGGATCCAGGTTAATGACAATGACAACCACCATTCGATTATAAAGTGAATAACAAAGAGAGACTCCATCCTTTAGCAAAAGTTTCAGAGCACAAAGCTCTGGAAAGATGAGCTACACCCAAGGAATGCTTGGCTGAATGAGTGCTGGATGTGAATGCACATGGGTTGGGGTGGGGGTGGGAGCCAAGGTGCGTGTGTGTGTGTGTGTGTGTGTGTGTGGGGAGGGGTGTCTCGGGAACCACTGGAGGGCATTAGAGGATTGATGGGAAATGCACACTCTAGAAGGTTCTCCCTGGCTGGTGAGTGGCGATGTGCATCGGGGACGCAGGTCAGAGAGCTGTTTTCTGGGGCAGAGGTCAGGAGAAGGGCTTATCTGAAGCTGTAGTTTCTGTCTTGGAAAGGGAACACAAGGACTGTTGGGCTGCATGGGTGCTATGTGAGGACTGGTAGCCCTGGGTACTTGACCTCTACAATGTTGGCTTTTGGGGTCAAGTGGAGTCCATTAGAACTCTCTTTGGCATAGGTCCTGGATAAATGCAGTTTCAACTGTACACAATTTCAATGGTATCTATTCATGTTGTTCTTCAAACAAGCCTGTGGGATTTGTGCTGTCATCATCCCCCACTTTACCAATGAGGAGAGTAGGGCACAGAGCTTGAGGAATTTGCCTGCTAGCACACACTACTACTTTGCAGCAAAGGCTGGAGGGCTTTGTTCCTCACTTTGGCCAGCTTCACTGGGTAGTTAAATCCATTGCAAAAATACCATATTGGCTCTAACAGCCCACAAGCCCATCGGGAGGCAACCCCTCTTCTGATGGGAAGACCCAGGAGAAGACTTTTCGGGCACGCTCTTACTTGAGACAAAAGTAGCTAACAGCAGGCTGAGACTTCAGCAGAGACTGGGTGCTGGGCCCAGCCTGGATGATGTGTGCTCTGAGAGGCTTTTGAATTAACGTTAGGGCAGAGAAGCACAAATGGAGAAGTCAGCAGGTTTGGAGAGACAACACTGACCAGTTGTCTCTGAAGGAGGGTGATGGGATCTGGGGCTACACTCCAACCCCTGGTACCCAGAGTGAGGAATAACATCTTTATTTTGTTAGTTTTCAAGTCCAAAGGAAGAGATCCCTTTAGGAAGTGATAACCTCAGCTTAAGTGACAGGTCCCAATCTTTCTGCTAGGAAGAGGTTCTCTTTTCTGTGATCCTGGCCCATACGGCTGATTTTGAGATAGAGGACTCTGCGTGGCAGGCCTGGCCATCACCATTGCTGGAGTCCTGACTCCACCATGTTTTCAGCTCCAGCCACACACTCACATTGGAGCTACCACAGCCACCGGAAGTCTGTGCCTTTAGCTGTTATGCTTCTGCCTCCAGAAGCTGCCCTCCCCAGCTTAACCACTTTCCAGCCCCCTTGCAAGTCCTTGTTGAAACTCTGAATCTCTTAAAACCTGTCCCTCCCAGCTCCTTCCTCTGATGCCTCCAGAGTTTGTAGGCCATCTCCTGTCAGCTTGAGTAGCCTGGAGGAGGAGCTTTTAAAACTCAGTATTTACCAAGTTCAGCATAAACCATGGAAGAAGCAATCACACAGATAGATGTCTGAGACGTTTAAGTTAGGCCCTGTCTTCAGCGCCTTGCTTCTGCCAGTGAGAAACCGCTATGTGCTAAGCCACTTCACCTCAAATTGGGGAATGTCAATGTTCAGTGGGGTACTGGGCACCCTTCCCTTCAGATTTTATATGCCAGGCTGTGGTAGATGATGGTAGTGGAGTAATAAAGTCAGTCTGCGGCATAATTTTCCTCTGTGCAGAGGTTAGTCCTTGAAAGAGTACTGTTGGTTGCATTAAGTCCTTGCTCATATACTGAGTGCTAACCTCTTGTAGTTATGGATGTGACCTTATTTGGACAAAGGGTCTATGTGAGTGTTATCAAATTAAGATGAAACCACAGGTGCAGGGAAGTGGTAGAGTGCTTACCTGGGGTCACAGTGGACGAGGGTAGGTGCTAGCCCAACAGTTAGTGTCCTTGTAAGAATAGAGAGGTTGGGATAGAGAGAGACACAGGGCAGCACCAGGCATTGGGAGATGCTGAAGTGACTTGTCTAAGCTTTGCTGTCACCACCACAGCTGGAGCAGGCGAGGGAGAATCCTGTGTTGGCTTTTGGAGAACACACACCCTGCTGTTGCCTCAGCTCAGAACACTTAGCCTCCAGCACAGCAAGATCACAGGTTCTCTGATGAATGTCAAGCTACCCGGTCTGTGGCACCATGTTGCCGCAGCCCTTGGACACCTATACAGTGACACCCAAGCAATCAGTCTCAGAACTGTCATATTATCCTTGTATGACACATTCACCACATGAATGTATGTCCTTGATCCAGGGTTTTGATAAGATTCTGCTGTTGTGTTCCTAAGTTAACAAATCAAGTGTGTTTTGCCCACAGGGCACCAGTGTGAGAAGGGCACAGGTCTGTAGTTACACAGCTTGGCTCCTCCGGGCTCCCTACTCAACAGCAGGGTAACCTTGGGCAGGTCAGTTATCAACCCACCCGAGCCTCAGTCTCCTCCCATATCCACCCCAAGATGTGTTGTGTGGGGTCAAAGAAATGAGTCATGTGACATTTTCCTCCCTGTGAGTACAGTGCAGTCTCTCCCCAGGAGCTACCCCCAAAGGAACACTTGGTCCCCAGCAGAAGTTGGCATCTCCCAAGCACGTAGGTACAGATACTCGTACAGGTGGGGTGAAACAGACACAGACACTGCACTCACTGGAGAGTTACAGCATGGGAAAGTGGGACACAAACCCTCTGGCGCCACCTTGGGCAAATACAGCAGGATTCGTCCTTCCTGTGACGGTTTCTTTATTCGATTATCATCACCCCTCAGTGAAAGGGTGGTTCCTGCAACACTACATAGAAGCCTGACAAATACGTTACGAAAGCAGTAAAAATGCTTCCAATGTGGGAAAAGAAGAAAGTTTGTGGAGGAAGGGGCCACAAAGCTGAAGACGGCTTCAGTGTAAGCAGGTGCCCATCTAGAAAGAATGGGTCTGCTGTGTCTTCAAGTCTGAGACACAGGGCTCCGCCAGTCGCAAGCAGAGCACTCCCTGAAGGGCCGCTGCGCACTTTTCTTTGTACGTCTAGCAACCTGGCAGGACACATTGGAGCTGAGCTTCTAACCTATGCGTAAAGCGTGTTCAGCAGTAGGACCCCAGTTCTTCCTCTGGTCTGCCTACTTTCTAGCTCTGCCAATCCGGTGGAGCCGTGGTCACTGGGGCTGGGTGGTCCAAGGCGTGGCAGTCATCCGAGAGGAACACCAAGTCCTGAAAGAGACAAGCACGCAAGCTATTGTGGGTGGCCCTGGAGCCGTGGGCAATGCCAGAGCTCCTGTCACCCTGGGAGACTGTTCAAGTGTCCCTGGTGTGCCCCCTGCCTTCCCAGACAGAGCTGGTTCCCTCATGGTCTCACAAGAGCCTGTAATTTATCATGTATGCAGTCTACTCACGCTTTGGTTGACAGATGGACAGATGGTTGAGTGGTGGGCTCAAGGAGCAGGTGCACTATCAATTACTGAGTGGTCAGGGGTTAGGAATACCACACAGAACAGCACCAGCTCCCACCTCGGGTGACTTCAGCCAGTGCACATCACACACTGGAAGGCACCATGCTAATTTCAACCTCCCTTCTCCCCAGAAAACCAAGGAAGTCAGGAAATGAGGGGGACTGGCATGGGAAAGTGTACGGTAAGCTGATTGCAAAGGATTCCGGGGTGGGGGGGGCTTACTCTGGTCAGACAGGTGCTTCCCCGAGCATCTGCACATACATGAACACACACCCCATTTACTTACCACACACAAACACACAAGAAAGGGGGACACTGGAGAGATGGCACAGGTAAGGGTGCTTGCCGCATAAGCATGAAGACCTGAATTCAGGTCCCCAGCGCCCATGTAAAAGGCCAGGTGTGGCCATGCATGTGTAACACCAGTACTGTGGAGGGCAAAGACAGGAGGATTGCTGGGGCTTGCTGTTGGCCAGCCTACCTCGAGCGAGGGAATTAGGTGGAGAGTGATAGAGCAGGGCACTAGATATCTGCCTCTGGCCTAGACACATGCACATATACCACATACACTCACATACATGCATACCCAACAACACTTTTTAAAAAAGATACTCGGAATTCTACATTTAGTCACCTTGCTAGGTATCTTAGGGTAGAGTCAGCACAGAGCTGGTGTACTGTAAGGGTGACATTATTAGTATCCTTCCAGTGACATCACAAGATGGGCACTAAGTTCCCAGCTGAGCCATGCACATCAAATCGATGTGCAGCTGTGGGCAGTGAGGGGCCTCACCTTGAGTTTTGGTCACTTAACAAGGGACACTATGTTTGTGGAAGGGTTGCTTGGACTGGAAGTGCCTCCCCCAAACCCTCCACCTTTGTGTTCAGAGCACAGTGGCCACGCACCCGCCGGCAGAAGGAGTTCATGATGGTGTACAGCTTCCGCACTCTGTCCTTCAGTGCATCCACCTCAGCCATTTTCCAGCACTGAGGTGAGGCCACAAAGTCCCGCAGCTTGGCCAGCACACAGTAATTCTGGGAATGGCAATGAGAGAGGACTGTGGGAACAGCAGCAGCCAGGGCTAGGAGCTGAGCCCCCAAATCCTCCAGCAAAGCATGGAAACTTGCCCCATCTAGGCCCCCTCAGGCCAGAAACAGCAGGGTCCACCCACCCGGCCCTGCCAGGCAGCACCCTCTTACATGGATATCCAGGTAGAGCTGGGGCAGGTACCTCACACACGAATCCTGCAGGAAGAAGCGGGTAAACAGACCACTCCCAGTCACAGATGGCTCCCTGCCAGCCCCCACCCCCAGGCCAGCAGCCCCAGAACCTGGGGTCTTCCCTACGGATGCAATGTCATCCACAGCACATCTTGCATTGTGGCACCTGCTCTTGCAGAATTTGACTTTAGAACACAACTTTTACCATGCTTACTATGAATGAGGATATTTTTTACATATGTAAAAGCACATATGAATGCATAACATATATTTACTAGTATATAACATTACACATATATATACATGTATGTAAATAGTTTTGAAGCAGCTAGTTATATGACAATTCAATAACCCCCTGTAGTTTGATACATAATTATATATGAATATAAATGAATATGTCAATTGGTTACATATGAGTTTTTAAAATTTAAAAAAATTTTATGTGTGTGTTTTGCTTGAATGTATGTAAGTGCATCTGTGAATTCAGTGCCCACAAAGGCCAGAAGAAGGCATTGGATCCTTCAGAACTAGAGTTTTGCATGGTTGTTAGCTACCATGTGGGTAATGGGAACTGAACCTGGGTCCTCTGCAAGAGCAGCCGGTGCTCTTAACTGCTGAGCCATCTCTCCAACCCCTACATGAGTTATTAACTGAAGCAAAAACACGGGGAAAAGCACGTGATACAGAACACGGTACTATGAAGAGGCGTGTGTGTTGCTGTAGGACCCCTGCTGAGACGTCTAGATGCCCTCCCTCCATGAATTCCTGTGGGACCTGGAGCTGTGGTCCTCCTCCGTGACTCAGTTCCTCAGCTGTGGAGTAGCACACTCCGAATACGTTCTCTCCACTTCCTTCGTCCCTGAGGTTCTGACTACGCTCTCTTACCTTGTAACTTCAGATCCTTCTAACATAATTGCTTTCTCTGTTTGACAGCAAGGAATTATGTTGCAACTGTCTAAAGAAATGTTGCACAAAAGAACATGAACTTAAAGAGCAGCCGGTGCTCTTAACTGCTGAGCCATCTCTCCAACCCCTACATGAGTTATTAACTGAAGCAAAAACACGGGGAAAAGCACGTGATACAGAACACGGTACTATGAAGAGGCGTGTGTGTTGCTGTAGGACCCCTGCTGAGACGTCTAGATGCCCTCCCTCCATGAATTCCTGTGGGACCTGGAGCTATGGTCCTCCTCCATGACTCAGTTCCTCAGCTGTGGAGTAGCACACTCCGAATACGTTCTCTCCACTTCCTTCGTCCCTGAGGTTCTGACTACGCTCTCTTACCTTGTAACTTCAGATCCTTCTAACATAATTGCTTTCTCTGTTTGACAGCAAGGAATTATGTTGCAACTGTCTAAAGAAATGTTGCACAAAAGAACATGAACTTATCAGATGATGTCCTTAATAAGCAACTTGAAAGCCACTGACACTATGTAATCCAAATTTTAACAGACACACACACACACAGACACACACACACACACACACACACACACACACACAAGAAATAAATGAATACACACACACCACACACACACACACACACACCCCACCATGATATGCACAAAAGAGCTAACAGCCCTCCACAGTATTGTAACAGCAGTTACCTCTAGGTGGCAGGCTTATAAGCACTATTTTTTTCTTGGTCCTTTGTGCATTTTTTAACCGTTCTAGAAAGCATGTAACTTTTATGAGACAGAAATGCATGAAATTTAGCTTTTGAAAGGAAAATACAGATTGTTAGGATATTGTGAACTGCAATATTTGAGAAACATTAGGTTCTGTTTTAAGTGTGTACAAGCAATTGAGTGACACTTTAAAATTTTATGAAGACTCTTAATGGAGTCTAATGTGTTTTGTTTCTGTTTTAAAGACACAGGCAGAGGACCTGGACTCTTTCTCCTCTGCAGCGCCCCTCAGGGGATGCCCTTGAGATCCAGGGTCTTCCTCTGCCCTGTGTTCTTCTGGTCACTCTCAGCCCCAGGACACTGATGAGGACTCTATAGTCCCCCTACTTTATGAATGGGAAACTGGGGCAGGAGGCTGAGTGCCCCACAGTCCCTCATCAGATACAGGGTATGTCACTCCTTGGCATATACTCTTGGTCACCAGGTTAATAACAGAATCAAAGAAACTTAGTTCTTTGGTTTTGTTTAACTCTAAAATCCTAGTCCTTATAGGAAATTTTGTTATGTTTTTGTCCCAAAGCAAGAGTTTGAGAGCTGGGTGTGGGTCTACCATGGGCCTCCAGATGTGGAGGGACTTACCTCGGGTTCTGAAGCTTGCAGGCTCTGGAAGTCCCCCATGATCTCCCGGCTCAGGGTTAGCATCCGGGAGTAGCAGGTGGGGGGTGCAGACCCCACCATGGGGAGCCAGACCACCACCAGCAGCAGCAGGGACAGTGTTCGGGGCATCATGGTGCTGGCTGCCCGGTGCTGGACCAACTGCCCCTTTAAACAGCTGCTGGAGGGGTGTATGTCCAGAACCCAGAATCTGCCTCTTTCCTGTGAGGCCCTGTAAGGGAGGGTGGGATCAAGGATGTGACACACCCACTGAGACTGGGACACTGGATCCTTTCAGAAAGATGCTATGATGAGGGGAGGGGGTACAGGGGGCGGCAGCACCTGGACAGGAAGCTGGCATTCACTTTCCACCAGGCGTTTCTCCAGTGGTTGGAACAGCAGATGAAAAGGTCAGAGGGGGAAGGGAGAGAGATGGAGGAATGGGAGGTTGGATCAGATTGGATCAGAGGCCAGAAAGGGGCAGTTTGGCCCTGTGTCACAGTGAGGACTGTTTCTGTAAGTCCAGCTGGTCTGTGGGAGCTGAATTTAGGATGAGAGGAGGGAACCCCACTCTCTCCAGCCTGCTGGGTGGGGCATGCAGTCTGGGTGCCATCACCTGTTGCCCAGACACTAACCAGGCAGGAGACCTTTGGGTGCAGCTCTGGTTCTGGGCTGTGTGACCATCACTGAGCCCCTACCATGAGTCCCAGAGGACAGAGCAGGAAAAGCCTGTTCCTCAAACTTGCATATCTTTAGGGCCAAAGCAGCATCAGCTAAATCAGAGAGTTTGGCATTGCAGAGAATTATCCCCCGCCCCCCCATTTCTGGCCACAGTCTTGGTCCAGTTTCTTAAATCTTCACTCTCCTACTGTGTGCAATGGGGTGACAAGTGTCCCCAGCTCAGGCCACAGTGAGGAATGGTCAGGAATGCACTAGCTAAGCAGATCTCAGGCCAGGCACACTGCAAGTTTCCAAGCCTGAAGAGGCCACAGTGAGGAATGGTCAGGAATGCACTAGCTAAGCAGATCTCAGGCCAGGCACACTGCAAGTTTCCAAGCCTGAAGTGACGTCACCGCCTCTGGTATATCCTGCACTTGTGATAGAAACAGCGGAGGTGATGCTGCCAGAGCCTCTAAGTGTTTCGTAGATGCCAGCAGCCACCAGGACAGCTGTTGCCACAAGCGCCATGCACCACAGCAGGGCACTACGGTGTGAGGGTGCTCCTGTTCCCCAGGCAAGGAGAAGAAAGGTCTCCCAGGAGATGGCACTGGGAAGTGATATTAGGTCTCAGGACCCTTACGTGGACTTGCCTGGCTCCAAAGTCTCATGCTCCCAAGGAGACCAGACGGAGAGCCTGATTGAGATTCATAGTTTAGGACTCAAGTGAGGAGGGAAGCAGACCATGGTGTCCTGGATGCTGGCAGGACTGAGGTGGCTTCAGGGATAAATGCTTGGCTCTATGTCTGTGGAGAATCCCTTCCTGACCCTGGCATCCATTCTCTGTCTGTAAACAGGTGGCATCACCCTGGGCAAGGTCTGCTGTACCAGCCAGTCCCCACACTTTGTTTATTTAGTTTCTGGTGTTCAGAGCCCTGGGTAGGGATCATAAACCACCCCTTCCTGTTTTGTAGGTAGCAGTGTCTTCCTTAAAAGCCGTCAGAGAGCTGACCCCTGACCCACGGTGTGTGCTGGGGGAGGATTACCAAACAGCCATGTTCCTCTGGGTTTAGTGGTGCCAGCCTCCCCTCGTTTCCTGGCAAATGCGTCATCTGGCCAAGGACTCCGGGTCTGCCAGAAGTGCTCCAGGACTTCTTGATTTGTTCAGTGCTGGCCTCAAATCCAGGACAGGGGAGAAAAACAAGTCTGGGCTCCAAACAAATTTTCACAGCGTTTACATGTAGCGACATCACAAGCACAGTCCACTGTTGTCTGAAGCTGAGATAAATGTGTTGTTGGGAGACCAGCCCGGTTCCTTCAGGACACCGTGTGGGGCTGTAGACAGAGTTTCTTGGGTAATTCAGGTGAGCTCAGGGCCACAAGGTGGCTTCTAGGCCTGGGGCTCAGTTTGTACCACCCACCTATGGAATGAGTGACAGGCTGGACTCCTGGTAGCCTGTGATCCTGGATAAGACCTGATTGATGTTGAGGTTCCGAGGGCCATCATCCAGTGGTAGACAAGGATTCAGGGTGCAGGCCCATGGGAACTGCACATGGGATTTGCAACGTGATGTGGATCAGACAGTGAGTCCCCCAGGACAAGTGCCCTGGGCCAATTCCTGGGAAGACAGAACGGAGGAAGGGCAGCTGTGTGGAGACCAAGACTGCCTGGTACATTGGGGCTACCATCTCTCCATGTGTCCTGAGCATGAGTTGACTTCTGTCTCCAGGACAGAGGCCATCTTGTACATACATGTGCATGCATGTTTATGTGTGACGTGTGTGCACATGTGTTTTTTGTGTGTGCACTTGTGTGCACATGAGTGTGGAGGCCAGAGGTTGACACCAGGTGTGTCCCTTGGCTCCCTCAGTCACACTGCACCTTAGTTTTTGAGGCAGGGTCTCTCTGTGAACCTGGAACTCACTGATTTGGCTAGACTGGCTAGTGAACTGCAGGGAATTTCCTATCTCTGCATCTCCTGTGCTGGGATTACAGACACACACCACCACATTCACCATTTTGTGTGTGTGTGTGTGTGTGTGTGTGTGTGTGTGTGTGTGTGTTAGAAACCTGAATTCGGGTCCCCATGCTTACATAGCAAGCACTTTACTGAGCTGTTTCTCCAGCACTGAGGACGGCCTTTTAAAAATCTTCATGTGCCACAGCCAGTGTGTATCCTGGTGGCCCAGGTGCTCAGGGCTGTGGGCCATCCTCGATACTCAGATTAGAACACAAACATACAGGGAACCCACTTAGTATAATCGGAACCAGATCCCTTTGGCCTTCCCTGGGAGGTCCTGGATGCAGCTATCTTCTGGGAGCCAGTGAGGTACCCTGTGTATGTTCATCCTGTCAGAAGTCTCTCCCCTTCAGCCCTGAGCCTTTTCCCTGGAGTGTGGCTCCTTCAGCATGGTAGGCCACCCTGATGCTAAGACCCCAGGCAGATCTCTCCCACCTCCCTCAGTATCATAGGTGATATTCTGTGGCTCCATGGCTCAGCCCTCCTTGTTTCTGCAGCATGACCAGGCTAATCAAGCCTAGGATGTTTCAGCAGGCACCAGAGCCTGGGGATGCCTCAGGGGGCACAAAGGGGATGCCTCAGGGGGCACCAGAGCCTGGAGACGTCTCAGCAGGCACCAGCCTCCTTCCTGTATTTACCAGACCTACTGCTTCGAAGTGTCTGCTGTGGGCCAAGGTTGGGATGCTGCTGTATTAAAGAGTGAACCAGGAGACACTGCTGTCCTCACAGAGGGCCATTAGCATACTGGGTAAGGGGCACAAGAGCAGAGATACTGAGATTCAGAGCTCTAAGCCCTGTCCCGTTGGACAACCCCGAAGCATCTCCATCCCATGTAAAATGGAGGTATGTGAGGGAGGGGTGGAAAGGGTGTGTGCATGTGTGTGTGTATTTGTATGTGTGTGTAAATGTGTCTGTATATATGTGTGTGTCTGTATGTGTCTATATGTGTATATGTGTATGGTTGTGTGTATGTGTATCTCTGTACGTATATGTATGTCCATGCCTGTGTCTGTGTGTATGTGTGTCCATATGTGTGTGTCTGCGTCTGTGTGTACGTGTTTGTGTGTGTGTCTGTGTATATGTGTGTGCATGCCTGTGTCTGTATGTATATGTGTTTGTGTCCATGTGTCTCTGTATATGTCTCTGTGTATATCTCTGTGTCTGTCTCTGTGTGTCGTGTGTGTGTGTGTGTGTGTGTGTCTTGGTCTGTGTGTGTTGGTCCCCCACAGGCTCATGTGTTTGCACACCAGGTCTCTGTCAGTGGCGCTGTATCAGGAGGTTTAGGAGGTGAGGGAGCCAGAGGAAGTGGGTCGTTGGGGGTGGGCCTTTGAGAGTCACAGTCCAGCTCAGTTTCCTGTCTGCTCCTGCTTCCTGACCTGGCTGCCTGTGAGGAGCTCAGCCAGCACTCCCAGCTCCTTTGGCCCTATCTACTGTGGTGGGCCAGAGCTCCCCTGAAGTCATGAGTGACAATGAGTCTTTCGGAAGTTGTTTCTGTCAGGTGTTTGGCCACAGTGATGAGAAGAGTCACTAGTGTGGGGTGAAGGCCTTGAGGTCAACACAATGTCCACTATGCACAGAAGGAACACCCTCCTGAGAGGCCCCTCGTCTTTGCTTAACTTCTGATGTGATTTGAAGTCTCCTTTGAGCACCATGTCAAATTGTAATGACCACTTACATATGAAGAGATGGGTTAAGTCCGTTGTCTGGAGTGGGCTCGACATTCTTGAGTGGGCTTTTTAGAGCCCCGTCTCCTGCCTCCCTGTCCCATGCATGCTCATAAGCACTTCTACTTCCCCCATGAGAGATTCCAGTAGATGCTGGTGTCCTCATGTGCTTCCCAATCTCCAGAAGTATGAGCCAAACAAGATTCTGCTAATATAAATTATCCCGTCTCCAGTGTTTTGTTACAGCTACAGAACACAGGTGATGACAATATGTGTTCTCTGTCTTTAACCTGTGATTTTTAGGGCTTATGTCCTTTTCAAAATTTCTTGAGGAAGAGTATTTATCATTCCCCTTGCTGTTCAGAAGGGCATGCTCCAGTAAGTGATGTGGGGGTGGGGGCAGGGAAGTACTCTTTGCTCAGTCCCAAGGGACTATGGGAAATTCCTGAGCTGACCAATAGAAACAGGAGCTCACTGTTTGCTCACTGTTTAACATGGCTGAAATTCAGTACACCTTTCCTGCATACTCTGTGTTCCTGTTCTGTGGGCATCATGAGAACATCTGAGGGTGAACTGGGCATGCCAATCCTACTGATTCTATCTCTGCATCCCCAGCTGGAGGTCATGATGGCCAGTGACAGAGAGGTCCAGGGCGGGAGTTAGCAAACCGGGTCAGAGCCAGCACAGGAGACCACCTCCCCAGCAGGGTCACTTCTGGGTCTCCTCACTTCACTTGTACTTGAAATCAGCAGCCAGTGATTGACAGCAGGGAGTGTTGGGGGAGGGGGAAGCATGCAGCACAACCATCCAGGACAACCATCCAGGACTCCAGGTCTCCTGTTGACGACAGCACCCCTGTGAGAGGCAG